GCCTGACAGCCCGTGGTCACCGTAGTAACAGTCTCAGTGTCACGAACTCTCGCCAGGATGGTCATTTTAAGGTGGTGGACCCGCGAGCGGTGCGATACCCGCGGTGACACGTCGCAGTGCTGTCCAATCAGACACCACTCAGTCTGTCTGATTAGTAGATCGGTACCCACTGCTGTATACGTTATTACACGTCATATGTGATGCTCATTTTAATATTCAAAATATATTTGAGTGACGTTATAGCAATTATTTTGGAGGCCACGTGCTATTTTCTTAGATCTGGCAACCCTGCCGATGTCCGGGTGAGAGTGTGTGTGTGTGTGTGTGTGTGAGAGAGAGAGTGTGTGTGTATGTGTGAGAGAGTGTACTTGAGCTGCGCACTGCTGCTCCATCAGTGTCGATTGAGCCGCTGTTCGGTTCTGCTGCTCTCCTCTCCGTGGTGTATATAGATTAGATTCGATTAGATATGATATGATATGTTCCAGAGTAGTTGATGAAGGTCTGATGAGTGAGCAGCGCGCGCGCGCGGTTGGTTTGACGGTGTTTTTGTTTGAAGTTCGAGTCGCTGGGGAAGCGCTTTGATGTGAGTGACTGAAGGCGTGTCCTGCTCTTTACCCGGATGTTCGATGTGGAGCCGCGGCACACGGCAGAAACCTGAGCTCTGATCTTTATGTAGCGAACAAAACTTCAAGTCCGAGTCGAACTTTTCTTTTCTGAGGAGGAGGAAATGCTAAGCTAGTCGGTATTTAGCGGTAGCTAGCTTAGCATGCTAACATCCCTCCTGAGGGAGAGCGCTCGGACTCGGTCTGTCTCACCGCCACGCTCCTGACCTGACTGGATCTACACCTCCACATCCACACCTGAACATCCACACCTACACCTTCAGCAGAGGAACCAGTAGAACAACAACACGGTAACATTCAACTCACACTACACTGTCGCTTTTATCGCTATTTCCCCCTCAGGTAGCTCTGTGTGTGTGTGTGTGTGTGTGTGTATGTGTGTGTGTGTGTGTGTGTATGTGTGTGTGTGTGTGTGTGTGTGTGTGTATGTGTGAGATTGTGTGTATGTGAGTGTGTATGAGAGTGTGTATGTGTGAGACTGTGTGTGTGAGTGAGTGTGTATGAGAGTGTGTGTATGTGTGAGACTGTGTGTATGAGTGTGAGTGTGTATGAGAGTGTGTATATGAGTGTGTATGTGTGAGACTGTGTGTGTGTGAGTGAGTGAGTATGAGTGTGTATGTGTGAGACTGTGTGTGAGTGTGTGTGTGAGAGAGTGTGTGTGTGTGTGTGTGTGTGTGTGTGTGTGGTTATCAGTACATGTTAATCCTGTCAGGTTCAGGAGTGAACTGGGTTGGACTGGTGACACTGGGAGTATTTCCCTATCTGAACAGGAGAGATCATGTGAACACACATACACTCTCTCTCTCACACACACAGAGGTGTGTGTGTGTGTGTGTGTGTGTGAGATTATCTCCAGTGTGTCGTTACTATCACAGCTCTCAATATTTACCTCTCAATTCACTGAAACTCATCATTTTTGGTAAAAATGTGGTGTAATTATTTTATTATTCATGTGTTCAATATTCATGTGAACATCAACATTATTATTATTATTATTATGGATGTATCACATTCTGAATTAGATTAGATTATTTGTCGTCATTTCCGGTTCAGAACGTGTGTGTGTGTGTGTGTGTGTGTGTGTGTGGAGGTCATCTCTATCTGTGTAAACACCACACACTGGATCTTCTGGAACGAACAGCTTCTGTCTCCACAAGGACCGTTAGAAAGAGGGAAAAATCACACCACTGAAATGAAGTCTTGTGCTGCAGGGTAGTTGGGGCAGGTGTCGATTGTAGGTGATTTTGTGGCTGTTCTATCGTCACCGTCACCCGCACCGACTCCGTCACCCGCACCGACTCCGTCACCCGCACCGACTCCGTCACCCGCACCGACTCCGTCACCCGCACCGACTCCGTCACCCGCACGGTGCTGATGTAAATCGAGCATTCCTCACCGTGTGGTGGTGATAATCATGCACACGATAATTGAACTACACGCCATCTCCGCTTCAGCGCGGGAGATCCGGTGCTTCCAGTGTTCCTGGATTCCTTTAAACAAAAACAATCAATCAAAGCTTTTATTTGACTCACTGTCGCTTTTGTCCACGTTATAATTCCTCACACGGCTCCGCCCACGCCAGTCGTTATTGTGCCATTAAAATGTATTTATTAATTGCGAGTTTATTAGTTCGTTGTTTTATCCTCTCCACTGCAGTTATTATTTCCTGCCTGTACATAAATGATATAACGTCCAGGTGATTTCATTTGAGTCCGTTGTCAAGGAGAATCGATTCAGGAGTAGGTAATAGGATGAGGATTCTTCAGAGGGATTACAGACACTTAGTACGCTCATCCTAATGATGACTAATCCCTGCGTTCTACATCCACAGGGATAGATTACCATCACCTGTAAAACTTTAATGCCATAAAATCCTTAACGTCATTAACCTTATCTCTGCTCCTTTCGTCTCTGGGATGTGTCTCAGGGGTTAAAGTCCCTTCACACGTTCGACTGGTTTGTTATTGGTTGGGAGTTTTGTAAAGAGATGTGTTGTAATGTGGAGTGGTGGTGCGGGTGGAGCGGTACCGGGGGTTTGGGCCGTGGTTATGATCAGGACGTTAGCTTTAGGTATTCAGTGATGTAGATCGTTCTAACTTGGTGTCAGAGAACATGCGTCTGATTGATAAACAAAGGCATTTTGTAAGCTTGTGAATTTATTTGCTGAAGTTTGTTTAACGTTAGCCCGTCATGCTGGACTGTGATTGGTCAGAAGGTGTTGATTAATTCTCTCTAACAGCAGCTCTGACTGTAGTGCAGGTTTTTATTAATACGTTATCATTTCTATAGGAACAGATCGGTCACAGGGGCGTGTAAGCTCCTCGTTGCCTCTGTAAGGAGAATAACTGTTTATGTAGCGTGTAGGGAAGGAGTTTCCAGTGTCAGCGCTGTGTAACAGTCAGAGGTGAAGCTGTGACTTTAGGTTTTCCACGTCTTCATCACAGAGTTTATACGTCTCTACTGTTTCTCACCAACACACAACAATAGGGAATAAATAGAGAGAGAGAGAATAAAGAGAGGGGGAGAGACCGAGTGTTTATAGCTGCTGTAATCGAAGTGACAACAGGAAATAACTCATTTCATGTAACCATAAATGGACAAAAAGTATGACGTGGTGTTTTTTGTTTTTTTTAATAAATCGATTGTAAGTCATAGGTATTCTGTGTGGTGTAAGAGGAATAAAACACCTCGGGACGTGCTGTTATGGGAAAATAATCAACTTGAAGTGGAGGTACTGTTCCCGCCCTCATCACCCCACCCCACACGTGCCACGGGTTATTTTACTGTAACGGCACCCCCTTGATTGATCGTGTTAATTACTGTAATGTTTACTGTTGAATAGAAACAGTCTTATAATTGGAGAAACTTAGTGTTTGCCATGGGGAGATTATTCAGAGTGATCGATCTCTCTCTCTTTCTCACGCGCGCACACACACACACACACCGCGAGTAGTGTTTCAGTACGATTCTAACACCTCCTTGTGTTTGATTTATCATGAACATGTTTTTCGTGATGGTTCTCAGCGTGATGCTCTGCACTGTACAGTTCTATAGGATCCTCCTCTTACGCAGATGTGTGCGGTGCGAGCGTACGCCTTCCTGATGTGTAGTATAAACGCGCGCTGATGTAGGACACAGGCCCAGAGCAGCTACTTACACACTCGCAACTGACCAGTCCCTTCTGTCTCCTGTAGTGGGCGTGGCCTGTACATATTTCATTAAGCTCACGAATGAGTGTATTTGTTCGAAGTGATTAGACTGGAGTGTGACCCACCAGTGTAATCTGCTTTAAGGTCAGTTTTACTTTTGTGTTCTGATGACATGAGGAAGTGGGTGAACTTTCACTGTACAGAGACACGTGATGTATTCTGTGTCCTGACCTGATCTTCTGTTCTACACCGCATGCGCAGTGTGTTCCTGTCTCCTGTCGTCTCGTAAAGGTTGGAGAGATGTGGAGAAGTATAGACTCCGGAATAACAGTGGTGAGGAGATAAAACCGGGATGAGTCGTGTGATAGGAGAGGGAAAGGTGGACGGGTGTGTGGGGAATGAATCGGAAGAGCCCGAGTGTGTTGTGTTTGGAGTTCATCTTTAAAATTGAAATAGATGTGAGATCTTCCAAGACTTTGAGTGAATGAAGTTACGGAGCTGTAACTGGCCAAGGACACATCAATAGCTCGAGATTTCATTTCCTGTCTGTTAGCTCGGTTATTCATAGTTGTCCAGTGGAGAAGAGGGATCAAGGAGCAGGAGAAGAACTAAGCTGCTCCTTATTGTCTGTCATTTGGTGTGCATTCTGTTTAACCTTCAGAGTTCTGATGCATGTCCATGCTGTGACGCTGAAACACACTACTCTGCGTGTGGCGCGTTTGAGGTCCTGGGTTCAGGCCCCAGCATGGCCATCCTTTAGAGCAGCGGTCCCCAACCTTTTTTGCACCACGGACCGGTTTAATATCCGACAATATTTTCACGGACCGGCCTTAAAGGTGTGGCGGATAAATACAACAAAATAAAATTATAGGACCGGCATAAAACTGGGATATTTTTAAAAAATATAATAATAAACTTGAATCCAATGTGAAATCGCAACTTTATTAGCAGCGTCCTCGTAACATCCTCTCTCCCCCCAACTCTCTCTGGTCTCTATGGTAAGGTTTCAACGTATCACGTGACCGAGACAAGCGTCTTGACATGCGTCAAGAGTGAGTCGTAGAAGGTTGTAACGGAGAGAATCCGCTCATTTTTCAGATCCAGATAATAAATAAAACGGAAATAATGTAAGTTATTTATTCTTTCTGTGCGGCCCGGTACCAAATGACCCACGGACCGGTACCGGTCCGCGGACCGGGGGTTGGGGACCGCTGCTTTAGAGTGTTGAGGTGGTGGTAGCTCAGTGGTTAAGACGTTGGACTACTGATCAGAAGGTCATGAGTTCAAATCCCAGCACCACCAAGCTGCCAGTGCTGGGCCCTTGAGCGAGGCCCTCAACCCTCCACTGCTCAGATAAATAAAATGGGTGGTTAAAACCGTCTGCCAAAAGCCATAAATTAACCGTAGGATATACCTCAGCGTTTCACGACCCGTCTTCCATGTGCGAATTCCATGTGCGGTGGTGTTGTCCGTCTGTATCGTATTAAACACTGTATTCTGTCAATATTTCTGACCGCCAGCGTTTTTAATCAACCCGAGTTCATGAGCGTGAACCGGCAGCATTTTAAACGCAGCGGTGAGCGTGCGCGACGTGGAAAATTCTTTCATTACACAGCGTCGCTTATTAACTGATCGTTCTCGGCCAATTAGCTGCAGCCGATATCCAATCATTTAGTCAATTAACTTAAACAAAAATTCATTTACAGCTTCAAATAGTTCAATGTTGTCCTAATAGTGACTTGTTTCAGGATGTAGAATATAAGGTAGGTGGTATTGGGATCAGATTTTATTGTATCAGGAGGATGTCAGTAATACGACTTCTATGAAGCTGAATGTGTCACGCGGTCACATGATCCGCTCCGTTCGCAGCATGGCGTTCTTAGAGGCACTGAGTAGAGACGGGACACTGTCTCTTATTTCACTTTATTTTTCTCTCTCCTCTCGAAGATGCTTTCCCATGCAGTGTGTGTATAGTCCAGGTGTCAACCCCAGACCAGGTATATGCAGCTGTAAATTCATAAAGCATCTATTTTTTTTCGTTTTGCCGAGTCGGGAAGTGTGTGATATGTGGTGCAGGGTCGCTGATACACACGCTGTGTGACTAAACACGGCGAGCAGGAGCCCCAGTCAGACATCTTTTATTTATTTATTTCGTCATCGTCACGGACACGTGTATCCGGACTAAAACCTGAAGAGTTTGATGAACAACCGTAGGTCTGTAATTAATTTTATCAGAGGAGCACGGAGGAAAACACCGACATGGCGATCCGGACAGAAATAAAATCACAGAGTGGCTCCTGTACAACAGGAAGTGACATCAGGACGCCATGTCCGTTTAATCCCGTCTGAATAGGGTTTATGATTACAGCCGCCCCCTAACTGTTATTCATTACAGTTTACATATGTGTATAGATTCACTCATCTGTCTTTTCTCTCACACACACACACACACACACACATAGTAGAGCAGAGTGGAAGTGCATTAAAGTCGTTCTCTTACGCACTGGAAAGATTTTTCCATCTAACCTCTCTTCTGCGATACAATAGGTCTCCGGTAAGGAAATACGCTTCAGCTTCGTTATACCAGGCGTGTGTGTGTGTGTGTGTGTGTGTGTGTGCGTGCGTGGAGACGTAAGCACTATGGAATGTTTCCGTTTGTATGGAAAAGGCTGCTTCAGCTCTAAGTGCCTGTTTAAATTCACTCCTACAGATGTGACCTTCCTGTGCGCGACTGTATCAGACGTGATGAGCGTACAGTAGCGTCTGGTGATGCGTCTGAAGTATTATCATGATGCACAATATTCAGTGTCCACTTTATTAGCCTTGCATTCATTCATTTTCGATTCTCCAACCAGGTGCCGGCAGCACCGCGTGTAAAATCGTACAGATACAGGTCAAGAGCTTCGGTAAACGTTCACATCGAACATCTGAAACAACTCTGTGGCTCTGGCGGTGGTACGGATGTCGGAGCCGTGTCGGGTTCCTCTCGCGGTTTCTGAGCTGCATTTCTGCTCACGGTTGTAAAGAGTGTTTATTTGAGATGCCGCAGCTGTCAGCTCAAACTAGTCTGGCTTCATACACTGCACTGCGGGTACGCTATCGGCTGATTGGATAATCGCCGTGAGTATAGGAAGGTTTGTGGGTTATGTGAGTAAAGGAAGGTTTTATCCAGTAGTGGAACATGTACAATAAAAACCAAAGCATCGGTCTCGGAGCATTTCTAAAGGTGTGTTTGGGAACAGTCTGAGAGAGTTGTTTAGCTTAAACATCCCAACACACTTTATTATTCAAGTCTAACTTTTCAAAATCAGTGCTGTGTGTGTGTGTGTACACGGTACCCTCCACTAATATTGGCACCCTTGGTAGGCTGTGGAAAAATTGTCTTTATTGTCTTTGACATTTTTTTCCAAACAAAAGTGATCTGGAGATATTTCCTGTAAAACCTTTTTATTAGTATTAATCAAACCTTAATAAAGTATTCAACGAGGAAAAGGTTCAATCCGAGTCGGTTATTAACAGTGATACTCCGTAACCGTGGCGATATTACGATATCGAGATCACGGTGTGATCATACCATATCGCTCAGCCCAATAACATGGCCGTTCTGGGAATACATCACGAACAATAATTCCTTCAAAGAAAGCTCATATTTATATAAAAAATTCCTCCAGATCTGTTTTGTTTTGGGGAATATGTGGGAGTGTTCTGGATTGAGGATTACACCCTGACGGTGAAGGTGAAGGTGAATGTGGTGGTGTTTTCCCGGACTGTCATCAGGTGGTGTTTTGTCATTATCAGAGTTGAATTTGTTCCTGTTGATCCTGTTTATCCTGATAACTCGGTTACAGCGCCTTACCCTGAAACTGACGCAGGAATTCCTCCAACACAGGAACACCGGTGTTTATATGAACCTGTGTAACGTCATGTTACGGTGTGTAGTACTGAGGCGTGTTTCACCAAGCCAGGCAAAGTTTATCAGACTAATCTAACCCGGGTCAATTAACTAACCCTAAGCGTAGCAGGTTTCATGGTTCTCCATATTCTCAGTAAACCCAGGTTTTAACCCTGAATCAGCGTTTACTTACCAGACATGAGAAATCAACCGACAGCGTTCCATGTGGAGAGCAGCAGGGGTGTGTGTGTGTGTGTGTGTGTGTGTGTACTTCCGGTTGAAGAGCAAATGATGATTATTATGTGGAAATATGAGGAATTTAAATCTACACTAGCAACAAAAATCACCTTCATCTTTTTTGGGATTCCCCACAAACGGTGAAGCCTTCCCTATAAACACTAAAGGGTTAACTTCGATGCATCATATTTATATCACATTGTTATCTTACCCCGAATAAAACCTGCTCCGGAGCAGGTTACCCGTGTAGCGTACGTTACCAGGGCGATGAAACCCGCTAAAAGTAGATCCACCTGGTTGAGACCAGAGAGAGAGAGAGAGGGAAAAAAAGATCAGTAGGACGAGCGGCATTGTTCACACGCTCGCCGCGTATCTTTTCTCCGTTTATCCGGAAGACTTTAACAGCGTTCACTCCACTCGCGTCAGAACCCTGAACAGCGCCGTCTCGGCTCCGAGTCGAACTGTTAAATATTAAACACTCACAAGCTCCGTGTCTCTCAAAACGTTCCCGCAGTCATCGTGATTGTTGTCATGATCTGCGTCTGCGTTTTTACCAATCTAGAAAATCCAGAAGGCTGGTACACAGAACAGAGCTTTTTTATCGGCGTGGAGGCCGTGTGAGAGGATTAGTGGAGGTGGATGGACTGAAATCTGTCCGTTTTGATCACTGAAGTGCAACTTGGCAGATATGCTAACACCGCGTCTCAGGAGAGTGGGAAAAAAAAAACCTAAAATCACACGTACGATATGAGTTTATTAACGCGTGGCCTGTCTGAGAGTGACTCAGTAACGTTTCAAAAACATTATCGCGCGAGATCTGTCTTCCATATCACTGAAATGAATTAGTAAAATGAATGAAACAAAATAGAAGTATGTGCGCTTCCCTCACGGCCCGTCTGTAAATCGATGACCCCACATGACCCCTGGTTTAGGAAGTGTCTGGTGTAGGGTGTGTTTCACATCACTGTGGTGTTCTCTGACTCCTGACCTTCAGTCTGTAACGTCTAAAAATAAACATTGTTCAAATAAAGTCCGCCGCAGCTTCATAATTGGGTTTAAATGTTAGAGTGTGTGTGTGTGTGTGTGTGTTCTGAGACTGAGGACACAGTGTTACTGATTGTCAGCTCCGGGCCCGTCATCATCCTGCGCTCCAGGCTGCTCTTCACACACACACACACACACACACACACACACACTCGACTGAAATGGCGCTCATGACGCAGCAGTACGACTTCATACTGTCCGAAACATCCAAACGACTGAGATTAAGACCTGCTCCGTATCAGACACGGATCTGTCTCATCACATCACGTGGTGAGATCGCAGCGTCTGATGATCAAGGCTCGGCATCGTCCTCTGAACAGTTCCCCATCTGTTCAGTAATAAGAGTTAGGTTGATTCCTTAGGTTATTGGGTTAGGTTAGTAAATGTTTGAAGTGTTCTTTAACAGTATTTCAGTTGCACGTTAGTTACAGGAAGTGCTCGACGTGACCCGTTGTTTACGTTAGCTACGTTTCCATCCAGGTTGCGAGTTTAACTTGTGCAGAAAATCGGAATATGGCGTAAACCTTCGGCGATTAAAGTGCGGTCTCCGTTCTGCCGCGTCTCGCTCTCCGCCGTTCTCACGCTTCTGATCCAGTCACTCTATTCACTAGTTTATGCGAGTCGAGGAATTTATCGTGTGTTTTACGCATGTCGTCTTGTCTACCGATCCGCTTCAGTTGAGCGTGTAAGTTCTTACTGCGTGTTTTTGGAGATTTTATTATGCTCTATTCCGTTATTGTCATTGCGAACAGAGCGTGTAGTGTTTCTGTTTCTCTTCAGGTTATTGTTCACCTGGAATGTACTCTCCCTGCTCCGCCTGCTGTGGTGAGAATGATTGTCAGGATCACGAGACGCTGCCTAACCTGAACCCGATCGTAGTATGAATGTTTTCACGTCGCGTTTCAGTCGAGAGCCCGTACCTGTTCCTGTTGGAATCTGTAGCTGTGAGTCAGACTTTATCGTGCGAGTGTTTCCGTGTGTGTGTTCAGAGGTTGTTCCTGGCGTGACATCAATTCAGAGGTGCCAACATTTATGGTTTATCTGCAGCTGTATGGTTTTTGACCTGTTGCTCTGGTGATACAGGAGACACCTGTGTAAAAAAAAAACCCAAACCAAAACAAACAGATTG